GGCTTTGTTTACATTTAGAATACAGAATGTTTCAGTTTTACCAAATGGAATCTATTTAAAAAATGTTCTCCAATTCAATCCTTAGTTTTTGCTGCCTTCTATCTGGAACAAATTCTCATGAGTGAGATTTTACTAAACTGGGAAAAATGGAACTGAGCTGCGATTAACCTTTTAAGTCCTTCTTCTTCCCCTAGATTTCAATAATTCCTACTCCAACCTGAAAACATACTCAGAACACTTGGAAACTTGTTTAGCATTTACACAGCAGACTCAGAGGGACTTTGGCAGTTTCAGAGTAGAGTGACTGCGATTCTCTAACTCACCACATACAGGGATTTCTAACTCTCTTATAAATAGAATCACAATGAACAAGTTCACAGGGATCACATTTTGATTATTTAAACTTATTCCTAATATTTGAAAAGGAAAAATTGTCCTCATTATAATGGGTTGAATTTTGTCGCCCTGAAAGATATGTAAAACCCCTAGTATCTGTGAATGTGATCTTATTTGAAAATAGGGTCTTTGCAAATATTATTAAACTAAGGATCTTGAGATTAGAACACCCTAGATTTAAGATGTGCCCTAAATCCAATGAGTGGTGTCCTTAAAAGACAAAGGAAAGATTGGAGACAGAAACATAGAGGCCATCTAAAGACAGAGGCAAAGATTGACATTATATAGCCCGAAGCCAAGGAAAGCCTAGAGCTATCAGATGCTGGAATAAGCAAGAAAAGATTCTCCACTAAACTTTTCTGGGGAATGTGGTCCTGCAAGAAACTTGATTTGGGACTTCTGATCTCTGGAACTGTGAGAGAATAAATTTCAGTTGTTTTAATTCACAAAGTTTACAGTAGTTTGCTATGGCAGTCATCCAAAAACCAAATCAAACTCACTGCCTTCTAGTCGGATCGGACTCATAGTGACCTCTCCTTGGGTTTCCAAGGTGGCATCACTATGAAGGTAGATGGCCCAACCTTCTTTCCAAGGAGTGGCTGGTGGGTTTGAACCACCAGCCTTCTGGTTAGCAGTCAAGTGCCTTAGGCACTACATTACCAGATGGCTTGGGTTAGGTGCACCTTAGTCTTCGAAGTGACATCTTTGCTTCTTAACACTTCAAAGAGGTCATGTGCAGCAGATTTGCACAGTGCAATACAATGTCTGATTGCTTGATTGCTGCTTCCATGGGTGTTGAATGTGGATCCAAGTAAAATGAAACCCTTGACAAATTCAATCTTTTCTCCATGTATCATACTGTTGCTTATTGGTTCAGTGGTGAAGATTTTCATATTCATTTCATAAACTTTGTGAATTAAATTATGTTGAGGTATAACCCGTACGAAGGCTTTAGTCTTTGATCTTCACCAGTAAGTGCTTCAAGTTGTCTTCCCATTCAGCAAGCAAGGTTGTGTTGTATGCATATTGCAGGTTGTTAATAAGTCTTCCTCCGACCCTTATGATGACATCCAGCACTTAAGAAAAGAGTAACTTTCAACAACTTCATTTTTTTTTTTTTTTTCATCTCAAGAACTGAGTTCTAACCCAGACTCAGGCACTAAGGAGTTACATTACTTAGATTTCCAAGTTTTCAGTCTATCTCTACAGTAAGGTCACAGTTGACACTTGCTCTTCAGGTTTGCACTGATTCTTTGGAATAGAATGCTACAACTAGAAAAAGCATTTAGCAGCTAAACAAATATTTTCTTCATTTTGCAAATGAAGAAACAGGCTGAAGGTGGGGAAGCGGCTTGATATACAAAGATACATGGCTGATTTAAACTGGCAGGACTAAACATTTTTTGACTTACAGATTAATTAATTTTAAAACTTTTATTTTGAAGTAATTTTAGATTCATTAAATAGTTATACAAATACCTGCGTTCCTGTATATCCTTCATTCAGCTTTTTATAATATTAACATCTTATTTAACCATAGTAAAATGATAGAAACAAGGAAATTTATTGATATAATATTATTAACTAATCTATACTAAAAGGAGGAGCTCTGGTAGCATAGTGCCTAAGGCACTTGACTGCTCACCAGAAGGCTGGCGGTTCAAACCCACCAGCCACTCCTCGGAAGGAAGGTTGGGCAATCCTACTTCCATAGTGATACTGCCTCGGAAACCCAAGGAGGGGTCGCTATGAGTCGGGGTCGACTTGACGGCAAACAACAACAACAACAACAACAACATACTAAAAGGAAAAAAACAATCACTGCCGTTGAGTCAGATCTGACTCATAGTGACCCCTCTTTGGGTTTCCAAGGCTGTATCACTACGGAAGTAGATTGCCCACTCTTCCTTCTGAGAAGTGGTTGGTGGGTTTGAACTGCTAGCCTTCTGGTTAGGAGTCAAATGCCTTAGGCACTATGCCACCAGAGCATCCTAGACATCTATAGACATTATTATAGTTTTACTAATTGTCCCACTGTTGTCTTTTTTTGTGTTCTAAGATTCTGTGCTTAATATTGATAATATATTTACTTATTTGCTCCTATTGTTGTTTCAGACTTAGTGATCATACTGTAAATAGGGTGTAATATTTATGTGTAGTTTCTTTTTTTCTTAGCTTTACTGTATATAGTCCAAATGCTATTTTCCATTGGTCCTTAGATTAGCTACTCCCCCCCCCCCAATATCTCTGAAGTGTAGTTATAGTTATATTCTATTTTGGGTTTCTCCCACCTACTGATTGATTTTTGGGGGAGCTGAAATATCACCAAGGTTCTAAGAGTTAGAACTATATAAAAAGTTTTACTCAGAGAAAGTTCACTTCCTCACTCTGCCCACCTGTCCTTTCTTACATCCTGTGTGTTATCAAACCTTATTAGTTCCTGATTTTCCTCTCTCTATTTCTTTTTGTAATATATCAGACAGTGTTTCACTATTATTCATAAGGCTTTCACTGGCCAATTCTTTTTGTACAAAAGAGCATATAAAGCATAATTTTAAAAGTTCCCTCTTTCTTATATGAAAGGGAGCATATTATAGCTACTCTTTAATACTTTTCTTTTTCTCATTTAATATATCTGCAGTCTTTCCAGATCAGTTCATAGACAGCATGCTCATTCCTTTTCACAGCTGTATACTCTTCCATTGTGACATGTACCATTTTGTTGTTGCTGTTCTTTGACTTTGAGTTGGTTCTAACTCTTAGTGACCCTACACACAACAAAACAAAACATTGCCTGGTCCTGTATCATCCTCACAACTGTTGCTATGCTTCAGCCCACTGTAACAGTCATTGCATCAATTCATCTCATTGAAGGTCTTCCTCTTTTTTGCTGACCCTCTGCTTTGCCAAGCATGATGTCCTTCTCCAGGAACTAGTCTCTCCTGATGACTTGGCCAAAGTATGTGGAGACTAAGTCTAGCTCTCCTCATGTCTAAGGAGAATTCTGGCTGTATTTCTTCCAGACATGTTTGTTCATTCTTCTGGCAGTCTTTGGTATGCTACATACCAGGTGTACCATAGTTCAGTCAATAACTCTCCTATTTATGTACTTTTAGAATGTTTCCAATATTTTATAATTATGAATAATGCTGCAATAAATAATCTTGTATATATGTATTTTCATATTGTAGGGGCATATCTAGCTGTAAAATTTACATCTCCTGATCCAATTATCTTTTGGATTAACTGATGTAATATAATTAAGACCACTTTAAAACTGAAAAAAAAATCAAACAATTATAGCAAAATAATAGCAAATATTAAAATATAGCAAAAATATATAAATTTAGCAAAATATCAGTTGTTTATCTAATCTGATTATAACTTCTTTTGACATAGGCAGCTCAAATTAATAAATATTTGTCCTCAGCTACTAAACCAGATGGATAATTTGGAAAATTTTCCCTGTGAATTAAAATTATAACATTTTTAATCACATCTTAATTCATTAGGAATGTTATGATATTTACTAGTTTTTATTCAAAAATTGCATCTAATATTTATACAGTTTCTACTCTTAAAAAACCCCACTGCCATATTAAATTATTTTCTTCACTTTATCCTTATGGAGATTTAAAAAAAAACCAAACTCACTGACACTGAGTCGGGTCCGACTCATGGTGACCCCTCCTTGGGTTTTCGAGGTGGTATCACTACAGGGATAGGAGGCAGAAATTACAAACTGCAGCCCTATTCTGATTTCTTCCACTTTCTTACATATGGATGTCAAATAGCCCAAGAGGAGAAAAACAGAATCACAGTCTGAACGACCCCAGCCTATCTGAGAATGATTTAGGATAGGTTGACAGGCTCTCCTTCTACCTACGAGGAGGAATTACACCCCAAATCCATTTCCCTTGGAATGGGGGCCCTCAAGGACCCCAGGTCCAGTGTAATTGGTTTTTAAAAATGTGCGAAGGATGTTATACAGTCTGTATAGGATTTATACCCACTCCTGCTTGTAACCTAGTTTTAAGGAATCTTCTATGTGGCCTAGTCTAGTTCATTAGGAGATTGATTGCCTTTGGATTTGGAATCTAGGTACTGAAGCATATTTGCCTGGTCTCATCTTTCAAATAAAGTATAAAGACCTAAATTTAATCCATCATGAGGCTATCACAAGCTCCAAACAAGTCTCAGAAGATCATTTATAGGCAATCTCCAAAGTTTTATTGAGATACTAGTCCTGGGTCCTGCAATTTCAGCAGATTCAAATGAATAAACCTGTGCAACAGAAGAAGTTGGGGCCTACCAAAAGTTGACTTCAAATATATGCACCATCTACTGGGCCACTGTGTCGCTGTTACATGTAATGCAGAGTCACATTTGTTAGTAGTTTGGTAGGATCTTGCAGCCTAGGCTGGGAATTTTTCAGGGTTTTAGAACTTCAGGTATCAAAACCTCTTCCTCTATGTTCTGAGAAGTCAAGTCATATTTCAAACCCTATCTTTGAACCTACTCTTCTAAAAACTATAATATTATGTTAATTTATTTAAGTTAAGCAACCAAAGAAGAACAAAAGTTCTGGGTGAGGTTATTCTTACCTCCTCTATCTCGGGCAGCTAAACTTTGACCCCTTCTTAATGTAATGTCCAACTGGTACATTCCGGGATCAGCCGAAGGGACATCTGCATTACTGGTTCCAGCACTACTTATTTTCTGGAAAAAAAGAAATATACAAAATATTAAATTTATTTTCACTAGTCTATTTCCTCCAATAGCAGACCATCTGGAGCTTAACTCAAACAATAAGAACAAGTCAATGTAATAAATCATAAATCTTGTGATTTCACACAATACCATAATCACCTGATGATCTAAGCTTTTGAAATTCATGAAATTCTTCAGGCTCAAAATAGAACATGGCAGCTCTAGGACTTTTATGTTTTAACTCAGATGAGTGATAACAACTGTAATATGAAAAACATTGCCTCTGAAAAGACCCTCATTATTCAACTGAGAAAGGATAACGTAGGAGTAGTGTCTGAAGTAAAAATACAATCACTGAAGAATGGATAACAAAGGTGTGCAAGAACAGTTGACTTTCTATATAACTGAACGAGAAAATTAAAATGATTTATTCAGGTGACACTGTTGACTCATTTATCTATGCAAAAGAGCTAATATGGAGAGATTATACCTGTCTGTTTTGGCCCCTAACACAAAATATGATATAATTAAACAGAAGTAAATTCACCCAGCATTTTGACAGTATTTGCACAAAATATGTTCTCAATGGAGTTAAATTTCTAATGCTGCTTTGTATGGAATAAGAGTGCACAGCAATTTCTAGAGCTAAAACTCTCTTAAGGCTGCCTCTATAGACTATTTTTAGCAATAATATACTCTGTTATTAATTTCATAGGCATTGAGTTATAAATGTGCCTGCAAGATGAATGCTGTTGTTATTTGCCATCGAGTCAGACACGACTCATAGCGACCCCTCCTTGGGTTTCCAAGGCAGTATCACTATGGAAGTAGATTGCCTGATCTTCCTTCCAAGGAGTGGCTGGTGGGTTTGAACTGCCAGCCTTCTGGTTAGCAGTCAAGTGTCTTAGGCACTACACTACTAGAGCTCTGGTAGTAAGATAAATAAGCCATATTAAATCAACACAAAAGAAACATAATAAAAATTACACAGTTCATATTTTATAGTCTATAAAATAAAGAAAGCTCATTTTCTTCACATGTTAGAAGTAATTTAAAACGCCTTTCCTTTTTCCAATTCAAAAAGATGTATTCTTTTGTTTTGGAGTAATATGCATGGATTAGGTAGAATAAACACAACAGCCTGGCTCTTGCAGTTCTGTAACTCATGTGAAATGCAACTATAATGCAGAAAAATTTAAAACAGTTTTATTTAGGTATAATTCACCCATCTTCTATAGTATTTTTTGAAGTTTTAAGAAAAAGATAAGCTTTCTTTTAGGAACAATATGATTTAAAACAAGAAGCAACATAATTTTGCTCCATACTCTGAACTCATTATCGCTTCTTTGGAAACAGTAAAAACAATTCACTTCTCTTTCTCATGATATCACTGTTTCTATGAATGGTGGTCCTGTTCCCCAGTCACTCCAGCTAAAGATCATTGAGACATCCTTGACTTCATTTATTTTTCACCCACATCCAAATTGATGGCAGATTCTATCCACTCCATTTCTGTATTATGTCTTCCAATTGTCTTTTTTGTTTAATTTCTATTACCACCGATTTGGATCACACCTTCATAAAAGATAAAAATAAAATAATTATCTTACTTTCCCCCATCCATCTAATTCTTCTTGCTCCTTGAGGTTACCTATGATAACAAGTTGGGATATATCCTAAAACATTCAATGCACATACAGTCTTGTTTTTCTTTGGTTGGGTTTTTAGTTTTTGTCTTTAACTTAAGAAAAACATCATGGGAATTTTTTCCTAATCAATACCTAAAATTTGTTTGTTTGTTTGTTTGTTTCTTTTTTTTTTGAGATATACCATTTTCCACAGTGTGTATATACTATGTTTTTCACTTATTCTTGAATTGATGAACATTTGGGTTGATTGCAGTATTCATTACTATAAATACTAGTGCTTTTGTTTCTATAAAATGAAGGCTTAAATTGTGTATACTCCTACCAAAAATCTGAGAGATTCTGTTTCTCACACAATAGTTATCACAGGGTGTTACTAATTATTCTATATTTTCAAGTTTGGTGAATAAAATTTATCTTCCTTCAATATACAAATTTGGAATTATGGTAAGGTGTCCTAAAACCAGTGTAAAAGGCAAAGAGAGTGACATTTCTTCACTGGGTAACACAGAAAATGCCAATTTCAAAAGAGAGGAAGCCAGCCGAGGTCTACCAAGCAACCGTTCAAAGAACAGTGTATATTGCTGTTGACGTTAGACACTATTGAGTCAATCGACTAACTGTGACCCTATACACAACAGAATGAAACATTGCTGAATGCTGCACCATCCTCACAATCCTTGCTGTACTTGAGCCCATTTGCCCCCACTGTGTCAATCCATCTTGTTGAGGGTCTTCCCCTTTTTCTCAGACCATCTATTTCACCAAGCATGATGTCCTTCTATAGGACTGGTCTCTTCTGACTATATGACCAAAGTAGGTGAGATGAAGTCTGGGCATTCTCACTTCTAAGGAGCATGCTGGCTACAATTCTTCCAGGATAGATTTGTTTATTCTTCTGGCACTCTGCAGTATTTTCAGAACTCCAGCACCACAATTCAAAGGTATCTATCAATTCTTCTTTGGACTTTCTTATTCATTGTCCAGCTTTCACATACATATGAGGCAATTGAAAGTATCATGGTTTGGTTTAGGCACACCTTAGTCTTCAAAGTAACATCTTTGCTCTTCAATACTTTAAAGAGGTCTTTTGCAGTAGACTTGCCTAGTGCAGTAAGATGCCTAATTACTTGAGTACTATTTCTGTGAGTGCTGATTGTGGATCCAAGTAAAATGAAATCTTTGAGAACTTCAGTCTTCTCTCCATTTATCATGATGTTGCTTACTGGTCCAGTTGTAAGGATTTTTATTTATGTTGAAGTGTGATGCAAACTGAAGACTGTAGTCTTTGATTTTCATCAGCAAGTTCTTCAAATCCTCTTCACTTTCAGCAAGCAAAGTTGTGTCATCTGCATATCACAGGTTGTTAATGAGTCTTACTCGAATACTAATGCTGTGTTTCTCTTCATATAGTTCAGTTTTTCAGATTACTTGCTCAGCATACAGATTGAATAAGTATGAAAGGATACAACCCTGACACACACCTTTCCTGATTTTAAACTATTCAGTATTCATTCCCTTGTTCTGTTTGAATGATGACATCTTGGTCTATATACAAGCTCCTAATGAGCACAATTCAGTGTTCTTTGCAATGTTATCCATAATTTGTTATGATCCACACAGTTGAATGCCTTTGCATGGTTAATAAAACACAGGTAAAAATATTCCCGATATTCTTTGCTTTCAGCTAAG